GGTTAAGAAAATCTTTCTGTGTAAATATCTCATGTTACAACATGGGTACCTGTGGTTTATAGACAAGTGTGGTCTATATATTTATTTACTTTTTCTTTTTAAATTTAGCGAGTGCAGTTTATATTCAGGTGCGCTCAATAGTCCGAACGTTACGACAGTAGTTTTGGTATTCGTCTACAAGATTTTTAGTTGATTTGGAAAAACCTCCCACAAAAGCTCTGTGGTGAACACTATGATTAAGCACAATGGGTCTACAAGGCTGGCTACTCGTGCCACATTTCAGGGCTTAAACAAGAAAGGTCAAAGTCGACCAAGGTATCGGAAAGAACTGAGCTGCACATCCAGTAGGAGCTTGGCAACTGTGATTCTTTGATGTGTGCCCATAAAACAATGACTCTTTCAGACATTTTGCCTTGAAATAGTTGGTTTGTTAAACTTGTTCCACTAATGTCAGGTTTATATCTGCAGGGACAATCAATGTTTCCTCACTGCAGTCAGCGGTGAGGGAAAAGACTGGATGAAAAAAGGCAGACAGATAAATAAGAGGGGTCTGCTTTTTGGAGCTCAGCCCTGCTGGGCTGGACAGGATAATGGACTCATAATGGGCTTTTAGCAGTTGTACAGCTGAAGATGGTGTTTGCCCTTCACAGAAAGAGCAGAGCAAACAGGAAGTGCATGGTGGAGACATCCTAAGATGCTGGACGTGTTGAGATGAGTCATGATGCCTGTTGATGAGACCAAACAATGATCCAACGACTAATCTAGCACTAAAAGAGCCTCACACAGGATCATTGCAGTGACAAGCAATCGCCTTTTGCACAATGAGTAAGCCCACTGAAGCAGAAATATCACTGTAGCTTAACAACAGCGTTAGAAAATGATAAATAGACAATATTACATTCCGTATTAGCATTAACACAGTTATTGAGAAGCACAGAGGCAGATTTTTGATCCAAACCCTATTTGACAGGTGTGATCTTCAATTTATCTGAAAATACAAACTGCAGCTTCTGTCTTCGTTTACAGGATAAATCACTTTAAATATCAAACTAATTACTCCTCCCGCAGTTTGTGCACTGCCATCATGTTCAGTTTGATCCTATAAAACTGAACAAACATGGAAATGCTGCAGTCGGGTCACACTTTTATAACACGCTCACTGAGAGACAGATTTATTCTGGTATAGTCTCCATCCGTCTGTAAATTTTCTCTTGTCGAAGCCATAACTTATGATCTGCTCAAGATAATTTAATGAACCTTCATCATAACCTACCATCATAAGACGAGGGGTTGCGCACCCTTCTTATCACCCTCGCTACAACATCAAGGTCACAAAGCAAGGTCAAACGAGGTCTTTGCTCTTCCAGGCCACATCTTCTGATCCATACTTGAACAAAACTTGATACAAAATGAATCACTACTGCATAATAATTAGTCAACGGGTGCATCATATATTGTATGGCGTACACTTGTTTTTATTAAACTGGGCTCTTTCTTGATATTAAGTGGCCTCTCAAAACAGCATTCAAATTATCGCCTGCTCGGCCGATGTGCATTTCTTCTTGCTCTTATCTTGAGCTGTCAGAAGCCCAGCAGAGTGGAAGAAGAGTAGTGCACACGCTACATCCTACACCCATCGACAAATTTATACAGCAACATGGCTATTTATAGCAATGGACTTGTGACCTAGACCTTAGAACTCGGGTGATAAAAGATTGTGCGACACTCCGTCTAGCGATGATGCTTAAGTGTATCAAGTTTCATTAAATTTTCTTAAGCAGATCAGAAGTTTTGCGTAGGACAAAAGGAAGTTTGTGAACAGACATACCGCACCATAATATGTCCCGCCTTTCATTGAGGATATAAAAATTAAAATGTCCTGGCTTCATGGTGATTTTTATAATGGTGTCAACAGTCCAGTGACCCGGAGAACTACTGGTGATGGTGAGCTGTAACTTCCTGTCTGCACCTGAATTCCCTGCAGGATGTTCAGGTGTCTGCCCTTCATTAGCTGTTGTGTCAGCAGTGGATTCTCCTGGTGTGTTCAGTCACATGTGTCTCTGCATGGGGGACATCAATTACCAACGCTGCAGGAGTGGATCAATCAGATGAAGTTCTGCACTGTGAAAACAACAGGAGGGAGTTGCCTCTTGTTCCTGCATGATCACAAACTTTAACCCTTGACTGCACATTCACCGAGCTCCAGTCAGAGACGTACACAGTGTAGTTAGTCTATTGGTCTGGCATGATACTGACTCTATGAAGAGTTTCTATCGAAAACAATGTCAGTTAGTGCTTTTCATTCAGTGAAATAGCCATGATGAATTATTTATGGTGTTAATAACTTGGGGTCAGTGCAACCCTTTGGATCCTTGTTATTTTGCAGACCTGACGTCGTGTTTGGGACTATTTTTAAACTGTTTGACCTCATTTATGCCCAACTTTAGCTGTTAGACAGGCAGCCTCACATTTGACTCCAGAATACTTTGAAACACTCTGGACTTCATGCTTGACCTTGCAGCAATGCAAGGACAAACCATCAGCCCATCTCCACCGTGCTCATCAGTTGGTATGAAGTCTTGGTGCATTATGTCCCATCATGTTGTCTACATCAGGACAATTAAAAAATATATATGTTTTTCTAAATACAACCTTGCAAACCATATTGTGCTTACACTGTGTGCAAGAAAAGAGTTTTCTTTTCTCTTGTCTGAGGCGACACAGAGTAACAGTTCCTGGTGAGCGGAGGGAGCAATTTTAATAACGACTAGGTGCAATGGCGGAGCCAGGGGGAGGCCAATGGTGGCCATCCAAATGATTTTAGTAAACTAAAATTATCAGCAACGTAAAAACCAGAAAGCACAGTTTCCTCAGATTGGGGTGGTCGGTTTACAAATAATTACGGTGCTAGTTATCTTAGAGTGTAACTTGGCAACACGATTTTCGATGGAGCTCGTTCTTACACCTAGATGCAGCCACACACCAAAATGGAACGTGGTACCTCACTTATTTTTCAAGATGTCACAATCACAAGATGACAAGATGGATGGTATTTCCAATTCTCCTCTTTGCTCCATGATGGGGGACAATAAGCAGCAACAGTTGCTTTGCTGCCAACTCTTCCTCTGGCTTGTACAAACACACCTGACAAGAGCAGAGCAGCAAACTGACAAACGTACAGGTTAATAATGACGTGTTTCTGACTCCACTGCCAGACTCTCAAGCCTGTAAATCAGAGGTGCCCTATATGTCGATTGCAAATGGGTAGATCGCATGGCATTAAAAAAACTAGACATCAGCATATCATCCATCTATGACATTTGTCCCTTGACTGACAGACAGGGCGACCAGTCTCAGGCCCTGTTTACACGACGTGAAACGTTCAGATGTTCATTTACAGACAACAGCCCTCATTCTTTCTGAAACTGAAAGTTTCTGAATCCAGGTCTCAGTAGAGCTTTTCGGGAGAACCCCCCACGAAGGAGTGAAATGTTCCGGAAGTGAAGTGGCACATGCGCACTAAAGGTGGCTGCAGTCCAAAGTTTTTCTGCACCAGGGTTTCTGCACCCACCACTGTAGGAGCAAAACTAATAAAATCCAGCTCCAAAGAGACGTTAGTGTATTCACCAGTTTGGATGTAACTGTGATCATGCAGATGCTGCATGCACAACAAATGCAGCTTAATTACCCCCTCCTTTTCTGTGCACATGCTCAACAAACACAACACACACCTCATCTTAGAATATCTTTACTCATCACATGAAAGTTTAGGCCAAAATACTATCATTTTAAAGCCACAGTACAGTTCATCAATGCTTATCTGGCAACCCGACTGAAATGAAAACTACAGCATTTTCATGTAAACCCACTCATTTTTTGTTTATTACCCCCAAAAAACATAAAAAAAAAAAAAACACTAACATTTCCAGAGGTCGTTCTTGTGTAAATGGGGCCTTATAGTAGACCACTTTGACTTGGTCATTTGAAAAGTAGCTTGCATGCTGAAGGTGTGGGCACTGGGCACCCCTGCTCTAAATGACCGAGGATCTTCTAACCCAGACAATAAACTCATATGTAAAGAGTAACCCAACAGATTGTGACCATATAGATTATATTTGTGTACCAGCAGAAACCAGAAAACAGTCACTTCCTTCATCCCAGGTGGTGTAAAGAAGCTGTATCGTCTATCAACAGATTCAAACAGGAAGTCTGAGACACCGTTGGTTTCATTTAGTGTTTGTGTGTGCCACCTGATTTATTATAAAGCTGTAAAAGCAGCTGTGACATTTTGTTTATCTGTTAAGTATAAAAAAAACAATAAACTTGATCTGAAAGTCCTTAAAAAAACTTCATCTTCTGCAAAGAATCTTAATGGTTTAGATTTTAGAGCATTTCCCTCCAAAATCAACAACCTCAGACGTCTGCATTTCTCTGCCCTCATCTGCTGAGAAACAGTACTGCAAAAATACCCCCCCCCCCCCCCGTTTTTTTTTGTTCTTTATTTTGTTTTCCACCTGGCATCTCATCTGACTGTGACTCGGTAACAACCAGCCTCAGAACCCAGTCTGTTTCCTTCAACACCAGTGAAAGGTAGCGTCTCACCGGCCGGCCTGCTCACTGCAAATGGCACGCTGCAGGATTCAGCAGCCTGAGAGTCACAGAGAAGCTGTCATTACCGTCAAAGAAAAGGGGAAATAACTAAATAGATAGCTGAGATGAATTTGTGCCACGTCGGTGTGAATTTACAGCTGCAACTTCAGTTTTTTCTTTCTTCACAGCTGCTCACTGTGTTTTATGGCAAGTTTCAGCAACGACGGGTGGAAACATACTATATTACGTTTTATGCCATTTGTTTCACATTCCACGTGTTTTTGAATCATTTCCTGACTGATCACTGCATCAAATGTGCCTCTGCTGATAAAGAAAAGAGATGCAAACGGCGAGCTGAGTGCTTAAAACACATCTTGATTCAAATTCAAGGCATTTCTCTTGAGTCTTACCGAAAACTTCATCTTGTGTTTCGGTCACTGCTGTCGTTCCTGCAGGGTCTGCTTTGGGTTCAGGTGACGGAGCCTTTAATGAGAAAACAAATACAGATTGAAGAAGTGAGGCACTGGGGTGCCATGGCAACAGAGCAAAGACAGAGACAGACAGACAGAACCAGGAGAGAATACATAGAGGTCTACACAGAATACCTGCTCAGGTGGATCAACAGAAGCTCGTAAACTCATATTATGGTTAATAAAAATATAATTCATGATTCACCAGGGTCTGATCATTTCTTTCTTTTTCCATTTTATTTCACCTTTATTTTACCAGACATAAACATGCATATAAATTAACCAGGCATCTATTTCATGTTGATGTGTTCATTCGTGCTCATCTGCTCACAGACTCATGCTTGTGCTGCTGTTCGGTGTATTGTTTTATACTATTAGTGCTTAGTGTATTTTTATTAACGTTTTTCTTAGTTCATATCACAGATCTTATTACTGTTTTTCTTTTACATTGTATACTTTTGTTGGATGTAACTGGGACCCTGTGTACACAATTTCGTTCCACCACATGTACCACATGTGATGCGAATGACAATAAAGAACGTTGAATCCTTGAATACTTGAATAAACACCAAGAACAAATTTTTATTTACAGTGCTGTCCTGGCAGGTACTTGTATGGTCGAGGCAAAACCATGAATTATAGAAGACATTAACAAGCAAGGGAACACAAATTACATTAACAACAGTTCATTGTCAACGTTAAACGACGTCATTACTGAGCATGAAAACATTTGTAAGTATCTTTAAAAAAGTCTTTTAAACTATTTTTAAAGCTAGAAACTGAGACGTGAGGTCAGACCCAAAGTTTTTTGAAGCAGATTCCAGTCAGATGGAGCAGAGCCAGAGCAAGTCATGATCTTTAGAGTTGTTAACCACAAATACTGAGAGGATCGGGTCTTATACTTCGAAACTGGTGCTAGTTACAGTAGATTAGTTAAATATGGAGGTGAATAATTAAGCAACATCGTATAAATGAGGATAAACCAACTAAATTCATAATGAGTATGTAGGCCATTTTACAAGAGAGTAGAGGTGACTGTGTGTATAAGGAGAATTTGTAACAAAGCAAATATCAGAGTGATAAATTGTGTCCAGCTTATGAAGACACCTTTACAAGCACGTCTGTAAATTATGTCTCCATAATCCAACAGAGGTAGAATGGTATGTTCAACAATGGTGCGTTTTGCAATCAATGTGAACGAAGATCAATTTCTATACAGATAACCAATTCTCACATTAGCCTTTTGCTGATAGATGGACAGCTTAGGCATTACTTTATGGTTTAGTAGTGGAACAAAAATGAAATCATTGTCCAGATAAACAGTATACTTTTGAAAATCACGTTTGGTAGTGCTGGAGCTACCTTCAAAATGTATTTCTCTTCCAGGACCTGCAGCTCAGTAAAGTGCCACCAAACCAGTCAAACCCATCAGTTCTCTGACTGGATTGATAATTTTGTGATTGACATGACATTGACCAATCAGCTGAGAGGAAGAAACATATGGTCATAATTCATTTTTGCAAGTGGAAACTCAAGTTAGTGAACGTGAGCGCAGAGTTCACACACAGATTGTAGCTTTGTATCTTTACAGAGCTTAAAACAAAGTTTGTATCTTGTGTAATTATTTATTTACAAATACAAAACTTTTCTTTTTACACATAAATTCTTATCTATGGATGCACAAAGATGTAATTCTCAGACATTTTGGTTTATGGTGAAATATTCAGAGCTACACAAGCACAGAAAATATATGCCTGGAATTTGTTTCCACCAAAGCTCCTCCTGACCTCCTCCTTGTGGCTGAAGACAAACTACGACTGATGTCATCTTCTGAGTGGGGAGCCAGTGGTGCACGAGCGCTCACAATTCAACAGATGTGCGGCTGTGACGCAACCTAAACACCCGAGGGGAGGTGGAGTGTGACGGGAGAGCTTTTACTAATGCAAATCATATAACTCGATAAGTGTCATGCTTTAAAACTTTCCTGTCTGATTTTTATACACTAAATCGATTATGTTTGATCCGATACACAGAAATTCAGATTTAATTATGGAGTCTTAAAGCCTTAACTCTGATTTTGTTTTTCTCTAAAGAATTATATTTAACTTGAATGTTTCTTAGTGTGACACAGTGGCCCAGGCTGGAAAAAACCTTGAAATCCTGGTTTATCTTTCCTCTGTGCTGCCTGAGGGATCAAAATTCTGTTGTCAAATCCTGTCAGCATTCAGGAAGTTAGCGGAGAAAAACAGATGTTGTAACTTAACATTACAGCAAATCTACATGAGGCTCGTCCTAAAATAAGTATCTTAAATTATACTCGTTTTATTTGTAAAACCTCAAATTCAAACATGTTGGAATTTTGTGAAAAATGTAAGTAAAAACATAAATAAGTGATTTGCAAATTTCATAAATCCACATTTTATTTACAACGGAGCAGCGTTAACATTTCAACAGTTTAAACTATAAAATGGAACCAAATTAGAACAAAAAATATATTTCTGAATTTAATGGCAGCAACACGTCTTTACAAAGCTCCTTCAGCTGTAAGTGGCACCAATGAGAAACAGCTAACAAGGTTAACTTAACCAGGTTAATTATCAACAGGTCAGTAAGAGGACTGGTTATAAAAAGAGTATTTTAGAGGCTGAACCTGTGGGAAGTAAAGATGGGCAGAAGTTCACTAGTCTGAAAAAGACCGTTAAAAACTACTTAAACAATTTCAGACTAATGTTCAACAGTACATTGGGAAGACTGAATGTCCCATCATTTACAGTTCTTTTCATGGACTCAGGAATGTTTCCACCATTGGCATCAGAAGCAATTGTACTGTGGGGGGCACACTGTGTGTAGGGGAGGGGTGGCTCCCCCAGAAAATTTTAAATAAAGCAGATGCCATTTCCTGCATTCTGGTGTATTTTAACAGGTTGTTAGACATCTATGTTTACCTATACAAGTGAACACTTGATTCAATAACTACAGTATTTTAGAGCATGGTACAAAAAAAAGTAGCCTGACCAACAGCTCGCCTTGTGTGAATAGAGCACGCTCCGCTTCTCTCCCACATCTCCCCGCCCCCCAGGTCAACGACTGCCAGCACTAACATATCATTAAGCTAGCGCGCAACACAGTGTCTCTCACTCTTCCCCCCACCCCGTCGACAAAAAGTCCAGAAGAGATGAGCACCCTGCCAAGGCAAGTGACTGAGGAAAAACCCTGCATGTGATGTGGTGAGTTGTTGTAGGTAACCAGGAAAACCTGGAGTGGACTTTTAGTGTTTTGACCATTCTCCTTTTAATTAAGTGGAATGGATTTGTTCATGTAGCAATAGAAACAGCGCTGGGTAAACTAATGTGTGTGGGGGGTCCAAAATAAATATTTTTTTAAATGTGAGGGGGACACGTCTTCTTCACATAAAATGGATGCAGTGCCCATGTCTTCCACAACTCATTGTTTGTAAACGCAGTTCTCCATACCATTCACAAATGCTGCCTGAATCTCTATTGGGCGAAAAATAAGACATAATCCAAAAACGCTGCTGTCTTCTCTGGACAAACGCTCATTTAAAATAGACTGAGTCAAAGTGGAGAGCTGTTCAGGTCAAAGGAACTGAAAAGATTTTGGAAACAAGAAGTCTCCTTACTAAGGATGAGAGGGACCATCCAGCATGATATCAGCTCACAGTTTAAAAGCCTCCCTCTCTGATGGTATGGGGGTGCATTAGTGCTTATGGCATGGGCAGCTTGATCTGTTAAGGCTTCATCAATGTAGAAAAGTATAAACAGGTTATAGAACATCTGCTCTCCTCCAGCAAAGAAGATCAAGAACTATTAAACAGCTCAAATCCTTTGTCAGACCAGTATGGGGCAACATTCCCTCCAAAACCTCCAACAATGTTCCAACTTTTTCAGAACCAGGATTGTAAAAACAGAGTGTGTCCAAAAAAACCTGTACTTTCATCCTGAAGCTCGCATCATCACTGCATTCCTACAGTCTGGCTCACGCAACGTTTCTTTCTTTGTCACGTAAGTGCCCAGCATTCATCTGGGTTAGATTTTGCTCACGCTCTCCCACGCACACAGAGACAGCTTGCTTATCTCTTTTGGCAGCCTCCCACTTTCTCTTTTAAATTAGCAACGCAAACAACAAATGCCCATGCCAAGCGCTGAGCCTCCAATGGCTGGATGTTTCTTCAAGTGATAACACTGGTGGGTGAAGAGATGGACCAGGACATGGAGTTTAGAAAAGAAACAAAAACACATGGCTCGTGTCTTAATCTGTGCTGAAACATGGAAATACAGAAAACACATTAATCAAGAGCAGCAGAATTTCCAGGCACCTGAGATGTGTCCATACTCATTAGGACGTGGCATGTCAGGAGGTATAAACAATCCTGAGAGGGTTGGGGGAACAGCCTGATGCTGGTTCTGCTGTCAGCACGACTTTAACACCTACACAGCACCACCAGTGGCTTATAGAGGCCCAGTTACAGGTAGCTGAATCAACTGAGGGAGCGGAATTTGTCATAGGTGCTCTCTCCTGACCTGCTGGTCTTTACTCAACAACACACACCATTTTTAAAATCATTTTATCCTGGATTATACACAAACTGTTACTTTAGTTAGCAGGTTATTGGTTTGAAGCAAAACTGTTGTTGCTGTGATGTAACTGGGACCAGTCTCAACTTTTAACTATTCTATAAGGAAACACCAGGTACTGTAGATAAATCTAAGAAGGTTGAGTCAGGTCCTCTGGATGGATTCTTCTTGTTGAAACATTTCATCTTTTATCCAGAAGACTTCTTCAGTCTGAGGAGATGCAACAAACAGTCTTATACGCAGCACCTTCTCATAGTGGATAAACCAGTTTGCTGGTGACAGCCCAAACCAGCTGTTCACATGCAAAAGGAGGGTCATCAGCCTAATGATCTATCGTTACACTGTAAAAAAAAAAAAAACATTTTATGGTGAAACGCTGGCAGCTGGGGTTGCCGAAAAAGTACCAATAAAATTATGG